TTTATGAGCTGGTCCTTGGTATTTGGCTCTACTAGTGCTTACCTCAGCCTTTATCTGCAGTAGAGTTACAATGTCTAACAGAACAGCTATTTTATTCTGTTTTAGATTAGTAAATTGCGTTATATTTTTGTATAACAACGCAGGTATTGATTCAGTCTATTGTAAAAAATAAGCTTCTTCTATTTACCTATTTAAGAAATTTATGGTCATAAACTCCTAAGAAAAACTTAAAAGTCTATTATTATAGAATGCCAAGAAATACTTATATAATTAAACAATTTAATCTTATTTGTACAAACAAACATGTCAAAATGTAAAAAATATATCTTATATCTGTTACACTTCTCAATATGAATATAGTTGTTTGTATGGTTCTGATTTTACAGGTCAATCACAAAGGGTTTTTGACATGCTACAATAGAAGTTGTAAATCTATCTTTCTTTAACTTAATGACATGTATTTATTACAGAAGTAAATGTGAATAATATACGCAATCATGCGTTTTTATTTATCAAATATATATGTTAAGTTAAGCTTCAGACATTACTTAAAATATTAAATTTGTCAGTATAAAAAAATTATGGCAGAAACTTACGATCGCAGATTAGGATTTTAAATAAATAACTTTCTACTATACAATAACGGGGGAGCGAGCTGGCGTGGGGAGAGAGCTGGCGTAGTGGTTAGAGCGCGGGACTTCAGTCCCTGAGGTCCCGGGCTCGATCCCCGCCAAGACACCAATGGGTTTTATCCAAGGGATAATGCCGCAGCCCCTAGGTCTAGCCTGAAGTAATGTGAAAAACAATCCCAGGTTCGTGCCTAGCGTCAATGGGGAAAAAAACTATACAATAACGCAATTTCTGTATTATTAGTTGTTAATTTATATTAGTAGATACTTGTATTTTGTATAAATTTACTGCTGTATGAAGAATATCCTAAAATGTATATATTTATATTTATTAATATTTTGTTTCAGCAGTAAAGATTTTGACTCTTTTGGACTCTTTTGGCATTACAGTAAATACTATTTAATAGAGAAAACGCAAAATATACAATTTATTAATAAAAACTTATCTTTATGCCATAACCATTTCGGAGTCTTTTTGACCAAGTATAATTACAAAGTTAACAAGGTCTTGTCACCAGCCGGGCCATAAACTGGGTTAGAGTTTAATGGCTGCCTGACAGAGAGCTTGATAAATTTCATCGCCATGTTAATAAGGTCGCCATTGTAGTACAAATAACGATGACATTGTTTATAAAACATTGTTTGAAATTTATTACTAGTTTTTTTTTTCTTTTTCATTTCAATATATATTTTTTACACTCAGCTATCAATGTTTTACTAAAAAACATTGTATTACCCTCCCTGTAGGAAAAAACCTAGATACTCGTTAAGACTAATGCAATTTAAATTAATTTTAATAAAATCAGGCAAATGTAAATTCCCTTCGTCAGCAGTTTTTCTGTGGCGGGTGTATTATATAATTATTTTATAGAATGACTAGTAACACCACAGTCAATGTTACGAGTTGACGACAATATTTATTTAAGATGGGAGAAATCGTGATACTTAATTTTTATTTCTTCATGACTTTGTTTAATGTATTTTACGAGAGTTATTGTTTACATGGAATCCAAATTGCGTGTCCTAAATGCAAACAGGTGTGTCAAGTAAATATTGCTTTTTAATTAGGCTATGAGGTATTTCAAATAACAATCAATTAAAGCAATCATGCATATATGAAGAGGGTGTACATTTCCTAATAATAAATTAAATTCATAACGAAATAAACCCATCTTTTCATTTTACACCTTTTCCCTTATAAAGTATCTGTTGGATTAGGTAAGCGTTATTTTCTTTAAGTTAAAAGTAATTCTGTCGGATTAATATTGACTTTTAATTTGGAAAAAGATTAAATATGAAACTAAAGTAATTATGAATAGTTTCTATCAAATGAATTCCTTTCACAAGAAAAAGAAGTATCCTTAGGTATTGATGGAATAATAATATGTAAATAAACACTAGTTGATCACATTATTTAAAGTTTATTGGCTTAATAAAGTTGATATAAAGATCGGAATAAATTAGATGTTCCAAAGTACGAGACTCCCTAAAAAATCTCCTAGAAACAGAAGAAACTGTGTCTCAAATAATGTAGGCATCAAAAGCATCAAAATGTGTTTGGTTAAAAATGCAATATTAATAAAATTATTTAAAGATACGCAATTGGTTCGTGTCTTCATTACATTTAGGTACAAATTGTTGATAACTGCCTTATTTTAAAGGTGTATGATGTTATTTTTCAGGCTTGTTAAGTGGTTATATTTTTGTGATGAATTCCTAATTGATACTGTCTTTGAATAGGGAGTAAAAATGTCATTAATTAGTTTACTTGTAAACAGGTATTCGCATGGTATTTTTTTTCACTCTTAGCAATCTTCTTAAAGTTGTCTTTTTAAATTTTTAAAAATCAATACATAAAAGTTTACAAATAAATGTTTATTTACGTATCTGTTGTGTGGGTAAAATATACTTAGTCAATAATTTAAATTCCTAAACAAGTATAGAATACGATGATGACATAATGGTTCTGAAAGCAACGCATTAGAAATAATCTTTGAGAGGAGTTTGTAAGAATATGCGTTATTAAAATCATTTACTCATTTCCATTTATGATTCAACAAAATCTTTATATTATGTCATCTCGTCAATCCCATATTAATAATTAATTTGAATCAGTCAATGGTGTTTTGAAACATGGCAAATCTTTAGGTGCCACCTTACACCGTATTGTAGCCATTTATACGATTTTTTCATCCTAATTAATTCGGATTTCACTTAGAACAATGTTATAGTAAATATTTCGACACAAATTATATTTTTCGGATATTGTTGTGCAACGTATAATATATATATTTCCTTATGATATTTTTTAATATTGTCGAAGATAAATCAAGTATTCATAGAGCGTTGCCAGCGAGCCAAGGATAGTAGATCTGGCTTTCATATGCTTCCCTAGTGACAGCACAGTGGCGGTTGTGACACTTATTTCAAATTATGATGTCAACTGTTCCATAGCTTATGACTTTCCTCTAACGTACAATATATAACATGACAGTATCTCTGAAAGAAATATAGGATCGTGTGATTTGGTATCCCTAAAATCATTTTCCCTCGTTCATTTTGACATTAAAGAAAGTTAATGCTAACTAAATTAAAATAATAGTATAGTTAATTTCTAGTACCAAAATTAGCATTTTCCAGTGCATGACCAAGTTTTATAAGTAAGGCAAAGGTGAACTCAGGAACATACGTGTTAGGCGAAACAAAGCGTGTGCGATTTACTTTCACGTATGAGGGGAATCCGAATTCGGGGGTAAATAAAAAAAATCATTTTACATACAAGTTATGAACTCACAACGTTCTTTTCATCACAACGCTAAAATACTCACAAAATAACATACCTCAGTAATATTAAATCACCCGCAATGTATCACATAATTAACATTATTCTAATACAACAGTTATTGGAAATCGGACGGAAACTTACATAACAACTTATTTATGACAAGTTCAAGTTCAAAACCATGTTTATTGTGCAGTAAGCACGCAATACAAGCTAAACAACCAAATTTAGCTTAGGCTTATGTTTATTCTGTGCAATTATACAGTACTGCTAATCAGTACAAACAACTGATCTCAATTAATTATACAAGTAAATAGGAAACAAACGGTAGTGCCCGTAGTCTCCAAATGGAGAACTGATAGGGAGCAACACTAAACTAGAAATACAAATGGAAATAGCACTGGCACAGTAACTCTGCTACAAAAATGATACGGTTCACAATTTTGTTATATTAGTACCAACTAGATGAACAACCAGCTCATTTGCACATGGCTTCATTACACTACCACAATCCCTAATTCAGCCCCAAGCTTGAATGTACATAGTACGATATCTACAATGTATGACTCTAGTGCATAGACATAATGTACTCTAACAATACCTTTAGGCTAACATACCTCAATACCAACCTCCAGCTGAATCCATAGCTCAGTAGGGAACAACCAAATGTAGAGCGAGGGGGAATCAGCTAATAATTTTTCCATGTACTAGAAGGAGTTACTTTCTTTGCCATCAGTTGTTATCGCAAATAGCAAATGTATTTTCTGTACGGAATAGAGTTATAAAAACGTTTTTACAACTGTATAGAAAAACATGTAAGCTACAATAATACAATTTTATAGTTTTTAATTTAAGCTAGGAAATTCTTTACACAGCTAGACTTAACTGAAACATACCAATTACCACAACTCTTGCACCGAAAACAAGATTTTTTGATGAAAACTGATATCTTAATAGTATAATGATCTATCTAGGAAAAATAGAAGTCTCAGCAATTAACCAACGAGGAATTGTATTTATGTGAGGTAATAACACCACTTAGGCAAGCGTACTGGGAAATACCAACCTTAATACCTCCTCCTTCGTCTTTTACCCACAAAGTGGGGTTGACAGCGGCACTTAACACGGTCACTGAACAAAAACTTATATTTACAACTATTAACAATGGCTACAGGTTTTTAAAGTCATCCCTTAGATATTCTGAGTTGTCATGCTATGAAATGGCTTTCCTAAAGGAATAAACAGACAGTCTACACAGACCTCTGTCCATGGTATTCTCATCTACACGGTGGTCTTTTGTTGCCTCAAAACATCAGTTTTGGACGATTGTAGCACCAGGAGGGTAAGCAGTGAAACTCTCACTGTGCTAAGATTTGAGTCTCAGGGCCCAAGTGTAGTGGAGGCACCAGCACACGCTAATGAAAATACCTTTTTATATTAATAAGTAAAAAAGAGAAAAGTAAATGCAATTAAATCATCCATATTGAGTTGACAGTATACTGTTTGAATCATAATCTAAATAATGTGGGTTATAAATTAAATAAAAAAATTGTTTCGGAGATATTACAAGGCATTTTTATGGTTTACAGTGAAATTAGAAGAACTAGAAGTAGTCCTGGGATCAATGGCTGTACTTCCGTGTGATCTGGTCCCACCAGAGGATGACGACAGCGTAGCTCTAGTCATCTGGTACAAAAACGATGACAAGACTCCTATATACAGGTAAGACGTTTGTGTTTCATGTAATGTGCATTGTACTAGGCAATCAACAGTTTAATTATTGTACGTTTTAATGAACCGTTGAATGGTTTAGTTTTTTTTTTTTTGGCTAGGACTGTTTAATAGGATTGTCCTATTAAAAAAATTAATGACATGTGTTTTTGCAATAAACACGTGAAAATATTCTTTGTGATTGTGATATGTCAAACCATTTTCTCCAGCAAGTAATAACTTGTTATCTAAACGATAAATAACAATTAGTTTTGTTAAATACATTAAGTTTGACAATATCATCATTTCCAGTCACTAAATCGTGAAATAATAATAAAATGAGGTTTTATTCATTCTACATTGGTTATATGAATAAAAGTTTTTTACACATCCTACCATTAAATTATTTTTGATTTTAAAAGACTATCTACGGCAAATAACATTAATATGGGTGGAAGTAGCAAGATTTTCCTTTAAAAACTACTGAGTACACTAAATAAAAAAATACATTAATTAAACATTAAAACTGATAATTCCACAATAATAAAGACAAACAAAACTGTAAGTAAATATTTGTTAAAGTAAAGGTTAGATAAATTTATTACACCAAAATATTTTCATTAAGTAGCACAATGTGTAGTTATCGTCTAATACTTAAACAGACTAAATTTATGAAATAAATTAGAAACATTGACACATTTTCTTAACATAATAAAAATACTTGTGACCCTATTGGACAGTTATTGAGATACGAAATGGCAATTTCTTTGTTTCCTAGACATCACTTAAACATCCACCTTTTAGCATGATCAATACGTATTTGAACTATATGATTGAACGGCTGCCATTATTAGTTAGTTATCGTCGAGTTATCGGTGTTTCAGTGTTCCTTGTAATTCATTTAGTGTATTACATACTCTAATGTGTTTTTTATAAAATACTCGATGTACACTATTTTGGTCGCGAATGTTTTATTTACATATTTGACGCTCTTTTACTCTGTAAATAAAACATTTAAAGGAATGCAAATGTAATATACCTTAAGTTCTTTCTTCTAAATGCCACGATTTGTATCTGTAAAAAGATTATAAACTGAGTTAATGTTACTAAGTAAAAGAGTACAATTTTACAACTGTAACAATGCCAATTAATGTTAAGCACGTAGTATTTGGAATTTCCTTTTATTAAATCGAATCAATAAAGCCTAAGCCATTTCACTCATATAAAAGTTGTCATAATTTTACCATAAAATCTTATAATGTATCAAACAAGTATTTTAAAATTTAAGTTTGTTTTTGTAGCTTACGCTGAATAATCTACGCATATTGAAATTTTGTTCGAAAGTTTTACTTATGATGTAAACAAAGACGAAGGAACAATAATCCGATGCTTAAATAGCCTCTATTAACCTTAAATTACTAAAGACATTTAAAAGGCCAAACCTAATAATCATTACTTCTTTTAGCAGCAGTTTCTTCATCTGGCTAGAGTGAAGCTTAGCGTTTTATGGCAGGTAATAAAACGGCGTAAGGTAGGGGATACAGGCAATTACTGTTGTTTTTAATTACGTTTATTAACGTTCGTTTGCTCTAGAGCTGAACGTTATGAGACATTAAGCTTTAGTAATACAATAAATACATGATATTGGTAGGCCCAACTCAGATTTTCTCTAAAATATAACTTTGCACTATGAATGTTAGATATAAAAAATAGAAAACTCTTTTAGTCGTCCTAAAAGTAATCTACATCTCCTCTACAATGCTACGTATATATTTGACAAATTCAGAATGTGGTAAATTAACTTTCTTCGTGGTTGTTCTTCGCGTGATGATAGTTAGACTACCACTCATAGTTTGGATTAATTTTATCGCTTAACACCTGTTAAATCTTGCCCACAGTTTGGATGTCCGTGAGAGGGATCTACAGAAGGGTATCCACTGGGCGGATGGTGACCTGGAAGGCCGCGCCTCCTTCTCCAGTGACCTCTACCAAGCTGCCCTAACTCTGACCAACTCTCGGGGTTCTGACTCTGGTGTCTACAAGTGTCGGGTGGACTTTAAACACTCGCCTACTAGAAACAGCCTTGTCAACGTTTCTGTTATAGGTAGTTTATTTAAACACTACGTTTTTAGCTTATTCCACAAACATATATCGTCCATTTTTTATCAACATACTGTTAAACAATTGTTAAATGATTTACAGTACTGCCCTACTGCTATACCAAATAAACCCAGTTTCAACTATGTGCTTACTTTTCTTTCATGAAGCAACTAAGTGTTTAACCATACTAATGATATACCATTATGTTATATGACATTTCAAAACATTAAATTATAGAATATTTTAAAACAGCATCTCGAACTTCCATTACAAATTACCTTTACTAAAATAATCTAGGTATGTTCCTTTATTTGCCAGACATTGTTTCAAATCAAAAGAAATAAACATTTATTGATAAAATTTGATTTGGAATAGATACACAACAACAAAATCATTAAAATCTTAAATTTTCAGAAGAATGACGAGGAATGTTTGGAAACTTGCGTTACAGATTCTCGTCAATGATTTTTTGACAGACTCTATAAATAATTTCGAAAAGGATTATTACAACAACTAATGAAGTAGATAAAATAAAAACCGTATTATTGTGCGGCTATTTAGATAAATAATCAAGAATCAACATATCCAATAAATGTCACCAGAAAGTTTTAAAATAAACTGAAGAGCGACAGTTGTGCGTTAACCTTTCTTTACTGGTAAATTCAATAGCCCTCTTATCTATTGCAGATTTTTATATACGTACCATTGTCTTATACTTCATCATTGAATTTATTTTATTAAAATATGACATTTTATACAAATACATGTTTGTAACACAAGTGCAGCAACAACCTTAGTTAAAAATTTTATAATGACCAGATATCTTGATGGAGATTAGCAATATAGTTGTATTATACTAGACTTATGTTCGTTGATAAAATATAAACTAAAATAAATCCGTTAGAATCATGCATTTGTAGTATGTAATTAAAGGGTACTTCAAGTAATGTTTTACAGTTCCGCCGGAAGATATCCATCTAGAAGACTCAGACGGAGCTCTAATCACTTCCAGAAGTCTAGGTCCACTACCAGAGGGCACCCCTCTCCGCCTTACGTGCATATCAGCTGGGGGTAGGTCTGAAACTATATGCATGCGACTAACTTTCAGTTTTCTTGTGACATCTTTCATACCAAAACATTAAGAACCTGCAGCTATATTAACATCACTCATTGCAATAGCGAATCAAATCATGTCAAAAATACCCTCAACATGTGAGCATAAATAGCTGCAAAATAGCATCAATAGTTTATTAACCTAAAAAAAAACATATTCTGTAAAATAGAAAAATTATGTAATATTAAAACCTTCAGGTTATCTCGTCACAGTTCGCGGAAGACTCTCTTCAGGAATACTAATACCTATCGGGTTAAATAATTTATACTGAAATTTCTATTAGTCTAGTATTATTGATTCCAAAATTAAAATATAATTGATCAAAAGCAAGGTAAGTATTTATGTCGAAATGCAAACCATTGGGCGCATGGATTTACTATCGCAAAAACCGCATATTCAGCTAAAATTATTTAAATACAGAATATATGACGTCAAACTGTATGGCTTTCAAATGTTATTTAACGGTTATGTTATTTTATACTTTATTAAAAATGTGATAATATAGCTCCTAATAAGTATTTCAGCTTTATATACAAACGGGTTTACTATTCTCAACAAGTATTTAAGTTATAGCAATTAACTATTTAACATCAGGTGTTGATTTAATGAATTTTTTACACTAAAAAAGTCTAAAGTATATTTTAACAGTATCCAGTACAACGTTACATGTATTCTCTCAGTACTTCCCAGAATCGTTGAAATTTATCTGTAAAGTTTAATTAGCTTACATGTTAAAAACGTTGGGTTATGGCCAGCCTGAACAGCGTTGGCTTTACAAAATATATGTATCTAATCTCACTACATCCTATACTCTTCAGTAAAGATTAGGTCAAGTATCAAGTTTTTTTGCGCTACGAATACAACATATTGTAAAATTGGATGGATAGTTCATAGTGCACTGTAGTTAGATATCCAATGTCGTTTGTACGGACTCATTTATTGTTTACCTAACAGGTGTGCCAACTCCTCGAGTGACGTGGTGGTACAACCTGACTCTGGTAGACGACACGTACGATGTACTACCAGACGGCAGAGTACAGAATGTGCTCACGTTCGATAAGACTGAGCGAGAACATCTACACGCCGTCCTTACATGCCAAGCTCTCAACAGCCCTTTTGTCGTGCCTAAATCCACTTCAGTCACAATCGACTTATACAGTAAGCAGATTTCGCGTGTTCGGTTTAGTTTCTTTTACATAAGTCTCGCCTGGTTTCAAAAATCCCATTTTTTGGTAGCAAATAAATAATTAAGTACTGTGAGTGTAAAATAAGTAGTAAATCTCCTAGAGTCTGATAACTTGTAAATTATTTTGCACACATTAAACGTTGGCAAAGTTGAAATAAATAGAACCCAGATAAACAAGCCGTGGCATAAATCCTTATTTATTATCTCTGTTAACGTAATTAGGTTAAATCTATTAAACCACTGAATTCAATCAAACAGACAAATGATCGATTAGCATTTGAGGATGAAATAATTTCCGTAACTCAGCCATACGTTATGGAAATGATTTCCATTACACATGGTAGTTAAATCGAAACCCATTCATAGCTAAGGCCTATTGACATTTATCACAATAATAAGTAAAATCATAATTTGGACTATGAAAACGCAATAAAACAGATATTTATAAATAAACAGAATTTTATTTAAATAATTTAATGTTTCTAAATAGTCATAAGTGATTATGTTTATCCATAGACATTTTTTTATCATTCACGTGTGCGCGTTTATACAGTTTATAATGTGGTAACTATTTGTTTGATAAAATTATTTCTACTGTTTTAAAACGATTGTAGGAACTTTGCTAATTACACTATTATGACTTCCTAGTTGGTCCCCTGGACGTGAGACTGCTGGGAGAGAACCTCCCTATGAGTGCTGGGTCTGAGTACGAGGTAGCCTGTCAGACCTCGGGGTCTAAACCGCCCGCCACACTTACGTGGTGGAAGTCTGGCGTACCTCTACACGTACCGGCGAGGGAAGTGGTAAGCGAACACTCTACCAAAGTTCAAATTTAGTATCACAGTTCATTTAATTCCTGAGTGGATGTTACTTGACTGTTGATTTGCAATAGTGCTCATTGAATCTTTAGATTATCAACTAACAGAATGTCCGTATATTTCATTCAGGTACACATAATGTCCAAACTGCCTTTGAGCATTAAAATATTAATGATATACTTCAATACATTTATGACACAATCTGTAATATATTTTTTACCACTACCTATGTTGTATGTTAATGTTATGGTAACTCTACTGTTGTGACGTAGTCCAGTATAGAAGGCAACGTGACCACCAGCACCATAAGACTGAGGCCAAGCAAGGAAGATCACGGTGCCAAGCTGAGTTGTCGAGCTACCAACCCAAGAGTGCCCAACAAGGCGTTGGAAGCATCATGGACTCTTGACGTTTATTGTAAGTAATGATATATGTATACTATATATTATTACGCCTAACTCTATAAAATGACTTCATGCTACAACTTTACTTGAACCTAATTTAATTTGTTTGGATAAAAAAGTATGTGCAACCAATGGAGGGTTCCAGCAACGAAGGGTTTAAAGTATATAAGGCAGAATATACAACAATATTTATGATTCGTGGTAGGTATTATGTAATTCATGATATTCATTGTATGGTTAATTGAACAAATCGGTACGACCTTTGTTGATCCTGAAATGTGTCAAACGATGAAAAGCGTAACTTAAGTTTAGTTAATTTAATTTATTTAACAATAGACGAATTTTTGGAATAAAACTTATGTTAGAGATTGAATTTTAGTTAGAGATTTTCCACGAAAAGCTACTATTTCACAAATACTACCTAATAGACTCATGTATACTCAAAATACCAACCATTATTGTTCAAGCAATAGTTTTTGTCCTATCTAAATCACACAGTGCAATTCTCAATACCTAGAAATGTCTTACTCGATTTAAAAGTTTCACTACGGGCGTCACGCTCCTCTATATGTGCAGTCTGCTTACATATGGTAGTGAATGTGTTAAGGATACTTTTATCAGCAACATAAACATGGTATGCTATTGACAGTCGTACCAGAAGCAGAGGTGGTGCTGATTAGGGCTGACAACAGGACCCAGATAATAGAGGGGATGTCCGTCGTGCTGGAGTGCAGAGTAACGGCAAACCCAGCTGCCACTGCTGTTAGATGGATGCACAATGTAAGGGTCTTTCATTATGATATTTATACTTTATAACCTCACATAATATGTGAAACGTAAGGGTATTCAGAGTGTTTTAGTTTGAATAATTTGATTATACCATCAGCTGAGTACAACAGCTGTCAGACATTAGTATATTTATAAAGTTGTTGAGACAAAACAAGATGTACAAATTATATATTAAGTTACAAAAATCAAAGTGCACTATCAAATATATGTCTCCGGGTATCTAAATTGCTAAATTGATGGAACTAGATGTGTTAAAACCCAGAAAAGTACTTCAACAGGCATCAGGGATTGAAACTATCTCAACTTGAACTTCAATTAATTATCAGTAAATTAGGATGTACTATCAGTAAAGTTATAGAACCATCGCAAACATAATACACAACAAACACTCCTAAGGCTACATCATTCCAGATATGTTAGGGAATGACCATTCTTGTTTCACTCAATTCAACAATAACATGAAACGGCACATATCACCCTTTAAAATGTAACAGAAAATTAACTTAAGCTTTCCATGACAGTTGCAGTGCTGCAACGATCGAACAAGAGCAAAGCTGTAGTTTTGCCAGTACACCAAAGTTTTCATCTTCTGAAGACTATATTTTGACAGCAGTACGATTTCATGTAAACATAAATTGTCATTAAACTAGTTGGTTTTGACTATGTTGATTAAACATGTCTGCCATCCATATTTTACAGAACGTGGAGATGCAAGACTCCATGAACCACCAAGTGACGTCAAACAATAACCACTCTCTGTCGTTGACCTTTGTCACAAGACAAAACAGCGGACAATACTCTTGCAGTGCTGAGAACAGTGAGGGTGTGACCAACAGCTCACTACTCAGTCTCGACGTTAAATGTAAAGTATTGATTTAGTTTTTTTTTTGTAATGCAATGCCATTATTAATAATGTCAATTATTGATTATGGTAGAAAAACAAATATTGTACACTAAATAAAGATAGCTTAAAAGCATACCAATTATTTATTGTTCTAAATACAACATCATTGATTAGGTCATAATCTATTTGGCTTCATTATCGTGTTAATAATTAACTGATAATTAGTATTTACTATTGTTATCACCACTCCAGTATTCTATGTGATCTTATTGCATGCAATATTTATTATATTTCTGTAAGAGCAATTAATATTTTGTAGACAATAGGACGTTCTATAGGTGAAAAAATACGGCCCAGTAGCAATTGGACATAAAATAAAAAGAAAACAAATCATGTCAATGCACTTTTTTATAACATTGGTTATTAATGATAGTTGCAATAAAGCACCTGATGCAGGTTTAAGAAATAACATATTTTTCTATCCATCTCTTAAAAAATATGGATGTTGGATCGACTGAAAAATGAATTTTTGCCAGTTAAATGGTATACTTATTAAATACATATTACTGGGTATTGTTTTTATTAAGAAGAGTGGGGCGTAGCGTTATTATTTTCCAACCTAAACATATGCTATAACATACGTCATGATGTTTTAATGTCAGTGTTATACAGTATTAACCTTTACAGAAATAGGATACCTATTTCAATTGTTATAATGTTTAAGTGTATTTTTTATCTAGATCTCAATGTAAAATTATGTTTCAAATTCACATTTTTCTAAATAAAAGTAAAATATATCGTAATAATAATGTATTATTGTTGTTATTAAGTTTATTTATTTTCTTGTAATAGTTTTGTTAGAGATCTACAAGTTGGTAATGGTAGTTTACGCAAAGATCGCGTAAGGATAGTCTTTACAACAAGAGAAGACAATTTAAGGCACGAGCCCTGGCAAACTTCTACGAATGTCGTTAAGGTTCATTACGCGAGTTGCGTACACTACTTTACCTACGACCGTTTCTAAATTACTAAAAAACATTACTCATAATTTCCAAGATCGGTTATGTTTTTGTTTATAACCACTCATTGCCACTGATTGTGATGCAACGACTCATTGTCCCAACCAATCACTCATTGCTTAATGAATTGAATTGGTCTTAACAGCTGATAAGTTGACGTTCGAAGTATTACAATTTTACTTATTTTCTCTCAATTCTTGAACCTCGTTGGTGCAAAGTTATACTGTACAAAACAATTATGTAAAGTAAGTAAACAATACTAAAAAGTGAACCTTTTCATTTCGAAGAAATGCATTTAAAAAGGCTTGTTTAAAAATGGTCGCAGGTAAAGGCCCTTTTCAAAATGTCTCAAAATAGAAAGGTTTTAGCTAGCCGCAGGTGCACAATGCCACTATGGGAGTTGTTTCCCGTCAATTACCCAACTTAACTACTTTAGCAGCTCTTCTAGTGAAGATCCCTTCACGTCCCACACTGCTTTACAATCTTTTTTTATCAAGTAAATTCTAGTTCTGTTCACAACGTAAAAGTTTAATTAAAAAAAAATATAATAGTAACCAATTAATATTTGAAATATATTACTGTTAGATACTGTTCAATGAAATGGCGACCATACATAGTAGGCCAAGTATGAATGAAGATGAGTGTAGGATGAGTGGCGCGATCTTGTAGTCTTGTTAGTGACTAAGGCCGACATTCTTTAGACACAGATGTTAATTAATAGCCCATAAAGCTAATGGCAACTAAGGGACCTACAGTTTATAGTGGAATCTGAACCACATTTTTCCTTTGTATATACGAATTGGTCTAATTATCAGGATAGTACTGCGGATAGTCGTTGTACTCACTCGTGTGGACGTTAATCCACACCAGGGAGTATCGCATCCACAGTGCATGACTATAAATATCCACAATTCGTGACCTCCTAGTAGCTGGATTACAGGACGACGCCACCCGTCCCAGTCATACATATTGTATTTAATGTAAAAAAATTAGACGTAATAATGTGTGCACCTCTAGAAAAACGTTTGGTCGCATTTGAGGTAATTGGTAGACGAAATTTACACTTTGCATCAATGAAATGTCAAATAATTGTAATTCTCTACAATAAACGTAATAGAGATAAGGTGCTTCATTTAGAGGGTCGCATTTACCGTTACCAGGATGTGCTCATCTTAATTGTCTTGTATTAAGTTGCAAACAAGTGACATCACACCAGTTTCTCCTCATTACACTAAAAACTCGCAGCATTTACTGTTAGTTCTAGAAAGGAATAATGCTTGTTAACAGTTAGCAATTGAATATTTAGCTTTAATTTTGAGTAATCAATTTAAATTTTGGAATATTCATTTAAACTCTTAATGTACTGTACAGTAAAATTAAATTAAATAATAGTTAGTTTAAAATGAAACTTAATAAGAAAAACTGAGATGAATATTTTACAACGTTACCTCACATAAGAAAATATATGTTAAGTTTATTGCCTATAGTAGATTTAAAACATTGATACTTAGCTTTTTTGTAATCAATTATGATTTTACAGACTTGCCCAAGTGCTCCAGTCCTCAACAGAGAGTATTCGGTGCGTCCCTGGAGGAGGCTGTCAACCTCACCTGTGCCACAGAGGCCAACCCTCCAGCTGTCAGGTTCTGGTGGAGACATGACGTAGATGGTGTAGTGACCAACGCCAGTGATACCACTAGTGTGGCCCTGGCACCTGGTGATAGTGAGGTTACAGTCAAGTGCTGGGCGGAGAACTCCATAGGGAACCAGACTGAACCCTGCTCCTTCATGGTGGTCCTTGCCAGTCAGTTCATCTCTTATAATTATTAATATTTTTGTGTATTATTGAAATCAATTGCTGATTACAAGTTAATACTCGAATGTTCGGTTGGCTTAGTGGTTGTAGAGATCAATGCAAAATCTGCAAGACAAGTTTGTTTCCAATTAATATCAATTATGGACCCACATAAATCTTTTTATCACGCTGTCAATTAATTATGGCATCTAAAAAAGGTAAAAAGCACGCCGTTTCTTTCGTCTGTAAAAAAACAAAAAAAACAAAACAAACAATAATAGCATTGATTAACATGAAAAATATAGCTGTTTTCTATATGGACTATAATAGTAATCTATTTTTTTTTTAGCAATTAAAATGTCGTAACCTATTTGGGAGACGTAAATATTAAGTTTTATTTCCTAACAAGTTGTCGTTCATGAAAGCTTTCAGTCAAATATAATTTGTATCACAAAATTTAAAAAATAATGTCTTAAAAGAAGTTACACGGTTCAAGTTTGGGCAACCACATATACAAATGTTTATATAACTTCAAAAACCTAGTTAACCTTTGCCTGAAAAAATATATGTAGCCGTTTACCAAAACGGAGTAGTTAAATGAACATAATACGTTTAGATTCTCTGCCATAAGAATTCTAAAAAAGTATTTTCTGCTAAAAGTCGGATTAACACAAATTATATTCTAAAGTATTACATGGTTAAGTATTATATTGTTACATCTACAATTAGAGCTACGGTCTTGAAGGAAATTACTATAAGTGATGGTATAACTAAAAAGGAAGTAGTAATTACCAAAAATGCCTAACAACACGAACTTACAAGCCAACTTACACCAAACAGAGGATTCACTTACTATACCATTATCACTTTATGATCATCATATTTTATGTAGGCAGTCCCGAACCTCCGAGCAACTGCAGTGTGCCGGGCCTTGGTGAGACTTGGCTCACTGTGGAATGTGTTGTCGGGAGTGATGGTGGACTACCGCAGACGTTTGAGGCTACAGTCTCACTAAATGAGAGACTTGTGGCGAACGTTAGTCGATCTGGCTCTGCGCTCTTCTCTATTACAGGTAAATGATCCGAAGGAATCTCAAGCTCTAATTTAACTTAACCGAATGTTATACAGTCCATGCTGTTTCATATTATTTGTAATGTAACCTATGTAGCCTATGTGGGATACATTCTCTCCAATTTGAGGGTTCCCATTGCAGAAAATGCCATAGCAGGTGGCTCAACTTCAAAGAAGACCTTTTTAGAGCTAAGGAAAGTTCTATTCATGTGGAATGAAGTGTAAATACGCAAGAGATAAAACTTGATAGATTTAGCAATACATTGACAAAAGAAATAACAAATAACAACCACTTTGAGTATTTTTAGTTCATAACAACCGCAGTTTAAGCTGAAAGCTAGCAAAGCAGAATATACATGTATAGCATTATTGTATTACATAATTTCACCTATGTAGTCAACGTATGCTGATATTAATAAGTTATCTCATAAAGTGATTGTCAAGTTCATAATTTACATTCTAAAGTACCACCACTATTGTAATTTTTACTTATTTTTTTCTAATAAGGGGCACTATTTTATGGAGTCCAAAGTTTAGTCCTAGCTTGAAATCATTAAGGTTTTTGTTGACAGGATTAGAGCCAGGAACACAATACGTTATAGCCGTACGTGCAATAAACAACAAAGGTGCCAGTGAAGAAGTCTTCATTAAAGCAGCTACTACTGGGAGACTTTTGACTCAGAGGAGAACTACTTCATCAGGTAATACAGCTTCAACTTCTTACTTTTTTGTCCTTTTTTCTTTTATGCCCCTCCTTCAAATTCTAGGACGCTATGTTCCAGCCCAAAACAGTTTTCACATTACTTCAGGTTAGTCCTAGAGGGTCGCATTATCATATACTAGAAAATTCAATAATTAGTAATCCTCGGGATCTGAACCGGAGTTTCAGCCCTCTACCGCTAGACCAGCTCAATTCTCATCTTGAATTCCAGTTACCCAGCTTAAATTCCGGCTCCGAAGACCTAGTGGTCAAGTATAAAAATTAATTAAGACAGACTATGTGATTGATTATTCAACGCATTGATATAGTGGTTCGTATACGTTCTTTTAGGTAGGCGACCTGATCTATTGGTAGAGCGTGGAACGTCGGACCTCGAGGTCCCGGGTTCAAATCCCGTGAAGCACCAACGGATTTTATCCATGTGATAGTTCCACAACCCTCTAAGACTAGCCTCAAGTAATGTGTAAACAAATCTGTTCTTGAACCTAGAGTTTTAGGATGTGTAGGTGGGACATAAACAAGTATACGGCTTTAGAAGTCTAACTTCGTTATTTTTGTATTGTTTACCTTTCATTGATGTTGTATGTGCTGTGTGTTCTAGAGTCTTTGTCTAGCAGCATAGAATCCACCATTATGCTGGGAGTCGGATCGTTTGTATCGTGTATACTAGTAGTCAGTCTGCTGCTTGGGGCCTCACTTATAGTAAAGAGACATCGCCAGAGACTACACGAGATTTCGAATATCGAAAAGAAGAATGAAATACTGGCCAAAACCGACTCATGCACACTCTCAGACGACGACAAGAACCCCGACATTATACCTTGTAGTACTGGTAGGTGTTTGAACTAAAGTGCCAAAGGTCATCAAACATTAACATATCTAGTATAGACATATATTCATCATAGATTCGGTTGTAATATTGTTTTACTTGTATGACATAAAGGTGTGCAGAGTTCAGTTTTTCGTGTGAGCCGTTACATAATTTACAGGGGGTCTCCAGACTTAAAAAACTGTAAGTTAAATTTCACTTTTGAGAATTTCAATTGGCTGCCATTTTTTTACTGGATTGAGATAGATACCTATAATTTGCGTTGTTGGTTTTCATTTATCAGGACCTTCAAAATGAGGGGTCACTCGATGGGTCTTACCGTTTGAAAGTTTTGAGTTTTCCCCAAAATCCCTCATTTTGAGGATGTACACCAAGTGGCAATTATGCCTAAAAAGTACTTCATAACATTCCATAAAGGTGTGCCGAGTTTAGTTTTTCTAGTATGGGCCGTTAAAAGTTAACAGAGGGTCTCCAGACTTTTTAATAACCCTGTACGAAATATAAGGTTACATTACATTGATCGCCAAGTGATCCATGTAAATCCGAAGAATAGGATTACGCGTTTCGACGTCAAAGCGACCTTGTTAAATCATACAAAGACTTGTCTAAATCATATAGTCACATCACAGTCATTCCAACACACACGTACAAAACACATTACAGGTACAAAAGTACATTTAAAGTAGGCCTACTAACCGATTCGTGGTAAACGGTAGTCACATAGTTCATATCTGCTAGCATGCCGAGACTTGACTGATGGTGCGCTGTATCATATAGTTGTGAGCTCTTTAGTTTTATGAGGGATTCAAACAATGTATTTGACTAGAAAACACATTTTTAATTCAAAAAGATTTTGAGCCTGGTTCCTTATAGCTTTATGAATCTCATAATTTTCCATTGCGGTTAATATATGTCCTTTTCTGCAAATGTGTAATGGTTTTAAATTAGAAATACAGTAATATTTCTATAGTTGTGGTTGCTGTTGGTCAGATGTGCTGCGACGTTTGATTTCTGTACACTGGTGGCTTTAGGCAAATGTTCTTTAAGTCTCTTTTCATACGATTGTCATGTTTGACTAATGTAGAAGTTCTCGCAGTCGTCACCAGTTATCTTGTATACACCACATTTCTATTTAACATCCGGGTTTTCTTTCTTTTTATTCAAAATATTACCAAGCTTGTTTAATGTTCTAAATGCAACAACCTAGCCATCTTTTTCAAATTCATTTTTTATGTCAAGGGGAAATAACAGCCAAATTCAGTTTGTACATAACCTGTTGTATTGGCTGTGGTTTTTGAAATTGGGGTTTTTTATATTCTGGACTGTTTGTTTATTAATTTATCTATGATGATAGGGTTGTAGCCGTTGGATACTGCGATATGCTTTAATATGTTTTTCTCAGTTGTTTTTATATGCATTTATCATATAATTGAAACATAATCACCGTCCATTGTATTATTAATATTTTAAATGAAAGGATGTGTTGTTATTCTTTCTCACATTTCTTGTATGAATTACAGAACTGACGGTGGTAGAGGTACCAGAGACATTAGACCCATCGCATTGGGAGAATACACTAGTCGTTAACTCTGTACCTCTGCATATAGTCAACACACAAACTGTAAGTGGAATATAACGAGTGGGCCTTGTCCGAACAATTAAACCTATAGTAGACATGTATAGTATTATATCAGTGCATATTTGTTTTTGCTACACTATAACTGTATATAATTATAGCTCAAATGAAAACAAAACGAATAATCAATAAATGTTTTTTTCACCACACTATGATGTTTTAGCTGTTTAACATACGTCAATTGGTGGCTGAAAGTTACGTTTTGCTGGCAATGCCAGGTGTCATCGTCATTTGGGGACCGAGCAGGTTTTTACATCCCTAGGGCCGCAAAATCAGCTGTCCACTTACTTTCTTAAACGTGAATGCATGAAATACACAATTGAATTGTTTTATTGTTACCGATGCCTAGCAACTATTTATTATTATTTTTGCTGATTGATCAAATTATTTATTCACATAACCTTAGCGTTGTAGTTCTGTTGACTATCAGTGTGCATTATTATTGTGGTGAATATTGGCAATAGGGTATAGTGTGGTGAAAAATAGCGTTCGTACCACGGACCGAAATTGTTTTCCAGCTCTCGATCGTTTTAATAACTATCTCTAGTCGGCAAAACCTAATTTTCGGCCCTAGGTACGAAATATAATATTAAGATAGTTCACTTAGAACGATTTACCCGAACCCTTTACAATATGGGAGTTACCCTGAACATATGCATTTTACGTGGTGTTCATGAGCATTTCCATTATTACTAAGGGTAAATAAAGTCTCTCTATAGCATAGGCCCGACAGTTGGTTAAAGTCGGAGAGCACAGTTATTGTAGCTACATTCGTATTTCTACGTACTTAGAGTAAAGGGTATTCTCTAACCTAATTAGGGTTTGTTTATGGTAAATTAAATATTATTGATGCAAGGTAAAAATATATAAATATATATATTCGAAGCGTTAATACAAAAAAATAATAAAATAACTCACAATTTTATAATCAACATTTAGAAAGCAGTAGGCCCATAACTAGAAGATATTTTTTTATATTGTATGTCAGGTTTCTGATGTGATTGATTATTCATCTACAATAGTTTCATATTCTTCATTTTTTAAAGCTTAATAGTCCTTTCTTGCATGTGATATAAGCTTACCTGATCGAAAAAAATAAAATTTTTCACAAAAATACATTAATTTTCTTTTTATTTAGTTACACACAACTTATTTTATTATGTTAACAATTACGGAGCTAGACCATTCTTCCTGTCAGTTATATAAAAATGCATCTATAGTAGTCGATACGCATATAATGTTGCCAGAGTACTGTCAGTGTCTAATAGGTGTCTAAGCAACTAGTAATTGCTTGTTGCAGGTGCCTTGTTTACAGACATGGGGTGTTGGTGAGTGGGAGGAGGACTCAAGCATAATCCATAGACATGTGGAAACTCAGACACCTCAAAACGTCTTGGAAAGTGTAGTTTAGGTATGCAACTATGTATACTTTGTAGCTTGGTTTACTAGAGAAAGGTTAAGAGCCACCCCCTCGCCAAGAAAGCTCTGTTTCAGCTAAATACATATTATTTCAATTAACTGGCATGCATTAACACTCAAAAAGTTAAAATAATTTATTTTTATCACAATACATTAAGTAGATTGAACTACTTACTTTACTGCAGCCCCATTACATGAGAAACGTAAGATGAATGTCATCAATTTGGTTGAAGTTAACTTATTAACTACAAATATTATGTTAGTTTTGATTCCAGGCAAAATATTAAACCTAGACATATATATTTTTTAGCATGTATGCCTCTTCAGAATTAACTCTTTGTATATGTTTCAGGAAAGATAGATCGACCAGATAAGAGCTTATACACAGACCTGATCATCTGCGCCGAGTTTAAAGGTTGAAACAATTTGTATCCGAAGTATTTCTGACTGCAAATATATTGAGTTATAACTATATTATGTTCTTAAGAAAGATCAGCAGTACTTTTGAATTCGAACAATCTGTATCTACTCTTCTTTAGGTGGATAAAAAATAGTTGAACATATGTTATTCAATAATAACTATTGCCGACTTTTTGATCGTGCACGGCTTGCTTTTTTGTATACCAAAATTTCCACCTCTCGTATAAATATAGTTGATATGTTCCCAGTGAAGTGTGCAAATGAAAACACTTCTACAGTATAAAAAGTATGTCTTTAAAAATGTGAGAAGAGACTGATATCCGTGATGTCTAGTATTATATCATTAAATTTACTTTATTATCATACAAATACTCTTATCACATTCATGAACCGCTCAAAATTTACAAATATTTTAGCCAATTTGATTGGTCTAGTATATGCAAAATTAATAAGGGTGATAATTTGTTATGACGTAGAAGGCTCTAAAATGTATAGTGAATTTTTTAACATTTGTACTTATGTTTTAGTTGTAAATAAATCATGTATTTTCGTATTGCAACTGCCATTTTTAATATTCCCTAATCATTCTTAAATATATATATAAATAGCTATTAATACATTTGAAACTAAACACAATAATTCATATACAAGTATGCATAGACCTAATATAAAATATTGTTGGGAAAATATAATATGTACATTAAATGGGTCAAAAATTTTAATTTTCACATGTTTGTGAGTAACTTAGACAACAAGCAAATACAAATTTTCTCTTCCTATAATTTAAGTTGTAGGCCTACTACTTCAATTGGAGTATTAGGCCTACGTTGATCCATAAAATTACGGATAAATTAAAATAACATAACGTGTGTAAGATACCCCGATATGGTTGTAAAATAATTTCGAAAGAAATGTGATAAATAAATTGAACTAACCTACAAACTGATTAAATTTTGGTCTTGTTTCCACTTTTTGCATAAATAACTTTCAATTAATCAAAATAATAGCATTGCTGCTGTGCTACAAGTGTACTGGGGTGTAATGATAGCAGTAACCGTTTGGTAAGGAGACAAAGAACATTTAAATGACACTGCAATGTAAGTTTTTAACCAATTACTCTAGGGGAAGGCTTAATTTGTTTAAAAGGTATAGGATAAGTGAGTTTCTGAACAAAACTATTTAAGTAAAAAGTAACTCTTGGTAAATGTATTAATTATTTACCATCGCCTATCCATTGCCTATCGGTGGTTTTTAGTAGTCAAGCTAGAGTTCCTATTTTTTAATCTTCGTTTCTCAAATTAAAGGAGAAAATAAATATTGGAAGAGGACATTTAATGCAACAGTACATAGCGCGTTTTGAAACTGTAGGATTAAATTACTACTTTATTTACAACAAAGGAAATGTCCAACGTAACTGTTGTATTCAAGAAAAAGCATTATAAAAAATCCTAATAACAATCAAATACTGTTTGATTGGAAGGGGAAATTTAATGTAACAGTACATAGCGCGTTTTAAAACTTTTGTATCAAATGTCTATTTTATTTGCAACAAGGGAAATGTCCAAAGCAAATGTCATACTCATTGATATAAAAATCCTGTTACAATCAAATACTGATTGGGATTTTACAGTTGCATGCAAATATATACTGTTATAAGTAGGCTGTTTTTAGAAAAGGATGGGTAAGCCATTCATTCAACGGACCATTAGGACTTCCTCCGGATATTATTCACGTCGGAGGGAGTCCATTGAAAGTACAGTCTGTTGAGATAGCATAATGGCTGCACTGCTGTTAAAGGCTTTATTAAACAAATAAGGTCAGAGTTTTTCACGCATTTTTAAATTTTAATGTGATGGAGTTATACATTATACTTCGTTTTATATTCACACAATTTGTATTGTGTCTTAAATACTATGATGACGATGGAATATAGTAAATTACAAAAACAAAATTCTATTTGCATGTTCAGCCTATGTTCGGATGCGGTAACTTAAATTTATCTCAGTAATAAGTCAAAAGTTATTAAATTAATAGCTAGGAATAATACATAGGATACTAGGATTAATAAATCCTTATTTAGCCTATTAGCTAACTGGACATAGCCTATGGGACTACTGAATTTAAACTAAGGAAGAAATTCTTCATTTGAAAAATTAACTGCTTTCTACCAAAATCTTCAAACTACTGTCTCTGGCACAAACTCATTGTCTTTTCACAAGGTACTGCCATTCTATCTCATTTCAGTAACAGTTATTAAGGATTAGATCCAAGCGTACAAAACTAGATGTCATAAAGATAAATAGCTAGAAAAGTTAGTTTTGACGGGAGCAAATATTTAAACATGTAATCTGATCAGATGTCTTAATTTTATCTATTTTTTATAAACTCTGTTGGGAGTCGGGTGAGTACGCATGTTTGCTTTAATTTAACCCTGTTAAACTTTGTTAATATTTTTAACGAAAACTATCACTCGTTTACTTTAGGTTGGCTAGTGGTAACAGCAAACACTAAAAAAAGGTTTAGAGTAAGAAATTTGCAATGTTTTTTAAAAGTTACGGATTTTATTCTGTCTAACTGATTTCAAACAGGGAATACAAAAAAGTGCTACAATATTTTGGTAAAATTTGTAACTTTTTAACGCCATTGTACATCATAAAACACAACTAGTTGGTTTATTGGAATCAGCTGTCAATAACATTATTTGACTCTTTTTAAATTTACTTTTATGTTATTTGAACATTAGACTTGTTCAGACAATGTTTATAATAACTACAAAATTTTTCCCTACTAATACTATCAAAATGGATGATGTTCTATTTTCTGTACTCTAACCACCACAAATTAATTGGAATAAACAATATTGGAGTGAATTTATATTCGGTCCTGGGCAGTGGTTCCCTCCACTTGTGGTCCTAATCATTGGATTCTTAGACATAACTTTGGAATTCAATTTAAATTCAGGAACAATGCCTTAAAAATTCTTTTTTCAACACAATCAGGAGCTGTCAGAAACTGGGGTGAGTTAAAGTCTGATGGTTCAGAAGTTCAAATGTCCATTTTTGACTTGTACTAGTCTTGATACAGCTCAAAGTTGTTGGTAAATTTACAGGAAGTAAGGCTTGCTATACTAATTTGGATATTCTTAGTACTAACTAAAACATTATACTGTATGAAATGTTATTATATTGCAATTTTCTTAGAATAATACAATTATTCGTCACTGAAAACGTCACGAAAAACATCACGTGAAAATGTCACGTTAATGGTGAATAAATGGCTTGTGATACTACAATGAATGTTGTTGATTTTACATCCGTTTCGTTGATTTCTACTACATTGTTGTTGTTGACGGTTATGCTGGTAAAAATATATGTTTCTTTCAAAATAATTTTTGAGTTATAATTTTAAGTGTTTTATTTATTTTTTATTTTTGTGAATGCATAATACACAGAAATTTCCTCCCCTGTTTTGGTCCCTTTTGATAAGTACTTACTCGCCAATATGGTTATTAAAATTATAGTTAAATATTTTGTAGATATACTGCAAATTTTAATAAACTGTAATCAGAATTTTTTTATATTGTATTGTATTCAAAAATATTTTTACTTTAAATTTATTAGTTATTTGAATTAATTAGTGTTTGTTTATAAAGTGGGGACATTTTTAGGTATACGATGTTTAATGAAAGTAACGGTAGAGGACTATGCGAAGAAGTATTCTTGAAATATTGAGCTCATGCTGTTTTTAATACGTCTTGGGACACCTGCCGTCAGTGACGAAAACAATGTCTAAATTAAAATTTCATAGAAATACGTAAAGGTAATAAGGAAGTTATTATTATTAACAAAACAGACGGTTATTAACCATTGTTTTTATGTGTCTGTGTAAAAATGTATTTATGTTCCAAATTGTACAATAAAGCACATTTTCATTTCATTTCATTTCATAATAAGGAAGTTATTATAGAAATATATAGTCTGAAATATATTTAAATCCCTTGGTTTGATATAAATTCATGCTTTGTGTTTTCCAGTTACAAGTTTTGTCATATTCATATATAATTAAGATTTTTACATTTATTAAACGAGAAAATAATTTTGAAAAGTATAACTATTGGTTTATTTCTAGCTTAGTATCTAGCATGTTTTTCTTCTTAGTTTTCTTTTTGTTGGAATAAAAATAAATACCAAAGTTAATTACTATTAATAAATTAAACTATTAAGTGTAGGCCTACATTAAGATTTATATCAAAAACTTGAAAAACGTACTTCAACAACAATTGCTCAATTAAATGAAAATGCTAGAAGGTGCACTGTTAAAATAAATACTATATCCCTTTAAACCAAGGAAGACTGTTCAACTAACATATTTCTGATTGTATAACCTTCGATAAGTACGGTTACTTATAATTTAAATGTGTTTTTGTGTACTTGTGAAATATACCAATAACGCCATAAAGAGTTGAAGCTTTGAACCATAAGCATTAAAGGCAAACTTAGTTCTACTGAGACGATAGATTTACTGTTCTCTAAACCCTCATTAACATTAACTTTAAACAATTGCTAATTTGTAATTTTACCAGATCGATTGGCTTAAAAGTATTGACCTTGTTGAAAGATATGCGCCTAGTTTCATATTGAACTAGGTGTAAAGAAGGCCAACTACAGCAAAGATGTATTAGGTGTTGCTTTATCTGGTACTTAAGTTAATTGATTTTCAAAGTTTTAACCCCATCTTCAGCATTTGGCAGCTGCATCTTTTTGTATAAGGTTTCTATAAGTGTCCTGAACGAGAAGGACATGATATAATTTGTTATTAAAAGATGCTCAGAGCATGAAAAAAGGAATAATGCCACTGAAGAAGAAAACAAAACAAAAAAGGCATTTAAATTAAGGTAATGAAACAACGCAGGATGGATCGTAAAAACGATTCCCTCCATGTGTAACATGGTTGAATGAAAAACTGGCTGTACCAAGTTGCCTATTACCAAAAGCAATTTCCTTATGCACAACTTCCACACTACAACCAGGAATTTGCCAATGTCATCACATTATGAGCGTAAATAAATAACCTCCAAAATATAAGGGGGGGTAAAAGTTAAGGGGTAAGTTAGGGGGTAAGGGGGGGGTGGGGGTAATTGGCGTAAAAGAGAACTTGAATATTTAGCATGAGGTAAGAGACCAAAATCTGTGGTTGTATGAACCATTTTTAACTTAAAACTGAGCACTGACGAATAATGGAAGATAAGAAACACTTCTAGATATTTGTTAAATGATATGGAGAGCTAGTAATCGAAATTTCCAAACACATTTATGGAATAAATCTTACATTGTGGGGACCAGTACTAAATCGCGCATTTATGTAGAGTTTAAAGCTTGTTTTAAGGGTAAAACATTATTCAATACTCTTTTACTTTTTACCCGGAAAATTATGTTAGTTTCAAACATTATTGTTGTTACGAGAATAAAGCTAATAAATAAAATGAATTGAATTTGTTAACTGCAACTCTATACCAATAAGATATACTTTGCTCACG